TCTTCTTGAATACATCCTTCAGGAGCACCAACTCCGCATGTAGGCAGTCTTGATCACACAGTGCTCTAGCCCTGTGCACCAATGTGGAAAGTGCAGCTTGCTTGTTGGAAGGGTGGTGGAATGACGCAGCATTAAGGTACAGGTTTGTATGGGTGGATTTGCGGTACACTGTATAGCCCATGGAACCGTCGGTTCTCCTGTAAATATCTATATCCAGGAAGGGGAGGTGGCCTTCATTTTCAGTTTCCATTGTGAACTGGATGCACTGCTGGATACTATTTAGGTGATTCAGGAAGTCCTTGAGCTTGTCGGGACTGTGTGCCCAGATGACGAAAGTGTCGTCCACATAGTGAAACCAGCAGTGGTGCTTGTGTGGGGCCAAGTCAAGTGCCCTCTCCTCGAAGTCCTCCATATAGAGGTTAGAGATGACCGGAGAGAGTGGCGAGCCCATCGCCACGCCATCGGTTTGTTCATAGAACTGGCCATTGATGGTGAAGTATGAGGTGGTCAGGACATGGCGGAAGAGTCTCGAGGTGTTTTCTTCGAAATGTCGTCCTAGCAGATCCATCATTTCTTTTATAGGCACCCTGGTGAAGAGTGACACTACATCGAAACTGACCATTATGTCGTGGGGATCAACATGGAGAGAGTCCAATGTGTGGACAAATTCCATGGAGTTCCTCACGTGGCGTGGACCGTTGCCAGTGTATGTCCTCAGTNGGCCAGGCGATAGGTGGGAGAGCCAATGGTGCTCACAATGGGCCTTAGTGGAACGTCAGGCTTGTAGATTTACGGCAACCCGTAGAGTCTAGGTGGCCTGGAACCTTGAGGTCGTAGCTGTTGGCAGACCTCAGCAATCGGGGGACTTTTTCAGAAGGACAGTCTTGCGCTCTATGACATCAGTAGGATCCTTCTTCAACTTCCTGTAAGCCTTATCCTCCAAGACAGCGGCGATCTTCCAGTTGTATTCGGACGTATCCAATACCACGGCCGCATTACCCTTGTCAACCGGAAGGACAGTGAGCGCTTCGTTGGCTTTTAAGGACCGAAGGGCTCTTCTCTTGGCACCAGTCAGATTGTCCTTTGGCTTGCGGGAGTTCTTCAGAATCCTGACCGTCTCCTGTCGGATCTCCTCCGCAGTCTCTACAGGCAGGGCCACTATCACTTTCTCCACCCAGCACAGGATATCTTTGATGGGAACGGACTTCGGAACCACAGCAAAGTTGAGGCCTTTGCTCAGGGCTGAGAAAGCCGCTTCATCCAATGGCACATCACTCAGGTTGACGACTGTCTTCTTGCTGTCAGGTGGGCCGGGTGGGTGCTGGGCCTCATGCAAATGTTGAAATTTCTTGCAGTGCCTGGCTCTTACATCATCAGCGATGCGTAAAGCTTTCTCACTGGTGATGCGGTTGATCAGGTCCCAGTCATCGGCGGACAAGTCCTGGATCAAGCGCAGGTGTAATTTAAACAGTTCTCTAGATACAACGTCCAGCTCCCGCCTGGTGTGGTGGATGCGTTCACGGAGCAAACAGAAGCTCGTGCGTCTAAAGATTCTGTCGGCAGCGACAGAATTTATATGGTGTTTGAACTGAAGGAAACAAGGGATGGTGTTTTGGTCTCTGCATCTAAGAAGGAAGGGAAGGGTACAGAGTAGTTTAGTCTTCTTGGTTCGTAGCGTCTCGAGTCGTCGAATGTGTCATTGAGTGTTTTTCCCTTCTCACTGTTCTTGTAGTTTTGTGAGAAAATGATTCTTTATTAGTGAACATCTTTCTTTTCATTTGAATAACATCATTTCAAATTTCGTGACAAGTGGTATGTGCATTCATTTGGATTGAACACAAAAAGAGAAGACAAAAGAACTGTATTTCAAACTTGTGACATTTTTATGATCAGCATACCCAGTTTGGTCAAAAACGGTTTCTTTTATACATGATGTTGAAAATAGTGAAAAGTTCTTGTGCTTTGATATGTATAAAAGAAAGCAATTTTTGTCTCTATTCTAAACACAACAATGTTTACTGTTAAAATTACATAGTTTTTTCAGAACTTACAATTTAATGCAAGCATGTCTGAAATAATTTTAAAAGGAATTTATGAGTTATGTATCTTATTCTGTCACCAATATGTTGGGAGGTTGCTTTTCCCCCAGAGAGTAAAGAATTCTCTAGTAAAGTACATTTTACAGAAGTGAAATATTAATTATCTTTGGTCATCATCATCATCATCATCAGTAATCTGTCAGATGACAGGTCCACAGTCTCTTCCAAAACAATTCCTCCACTTAATGCGATCTAGAGCTTTCTCCTTCAAATGACAGTATCCTCTTCTGTCCCCAAGGTCATCCAGCATCATCTTACGTCTTCTTCCTCGTCTTCTTGTCACTTCTATCCGCCCCTCTATCTTTCCTTCAAGAACTTCTTTTAGAAGGCAGTTTCTGCATAAAACATGACCAATCCAATTAGCCTTCCGTTTTCTTATT